TCCCTCCCTCCCTCCCTCCCTCCCTCTTCCTCTTTCTCTCTTCTTCTCTTTCTTTTTTTTTTTAAACTGGAGGTAAAATAGATTTCAATCTATGAATGTTTATAGCCATCTGCCTTCTCATATATGATTTTTGAAAGATCTTAGGTATGCTGGAGTATTTGTTAGTGGAAGAGCCTTAGAGTAATAAAACAGTTGTTAGAGATTCTAGGGAGTCCTTTTAGGTGCACAGATCAGACACTCCTTCACTAAAAATTATTTTCCTTCTTAGCTTTTTGTGAGGTTCCTGGAAAACTAAGTCTTCAGGAAATTATTTCCTCCAGTCTTGACACAGTATGACTTCCCTTGCTCTTACAGTTCATTCTGCAAAAATAAAACTTCTCTGTTGCCAGCTCTTACAGAATTTGTTACCTAACATTTTGCGTAGTTTTTGGACCCTGAGTTCAGATGATGAGATTTTAAAGGCTTTCTGAAATACTACATCGTATTTATTATAAAAAAATCTGACGAAAACTGGTTAATGTGGAATAAAAGAATTTAAAATCACCATTCTGTAATGTTGCTGGAAACACTATATTATATAATAATATGTAGTGCAGTAGAATTACCGTTTTTCTGAACTCTATTTCTCTTTCATGCAAACTTAGGAAATAATTATTGATGTATTGGTAAAAAGTAGTGATTTATTTATGTCTATGCGGTATATATTCTATTAATATATACTATAGAGCTGTATTATATCTAGTTTTGTATATATTTATATACTATATTCCGTATATCACCTATATCTATAAGATTTATATTTATGTGTAAAGTATTTTAGTTCCTTATGAAAACAGGAATCATAAGTAAACTTTGAAACATTTGAAAATTTAGTAAAATAAGTTATGAGAAAGATTAGTTTGTTAATTATTTATTTATATATATGGTATATAATTGTATTGAAACCAACATTTTTTATCTAATTTGTGACTGTTTTCCTTTCCTTTACTCTGTGCAATTTCAACCTCTTGTCTCACAGATCTTGTCTTAATTTGGATGCATAAATTCATTTTATGCTCAGTTTTTCACAAGAGTGGTATTAAGATTACCACTGCTCAGTGAGAAATTTGATCACTGCAAATAGTCTCCCACTTCAACTTGCCTATATATTTAACGGCATCAACTACAGGTAGATACTGAATAACTCCAGCTGCTTTGAAGAAAGAGGCTTTTGAAATGTTTCTGAGAGATTAGGGGAAATTATTGAAAATATGTCTAAATATAATAAATATCATGTATAAATATATCTTAATGGATCAGTTGTGCTGTCCAGTAAAATACATTTGAAAATAATTTCCTTTAGCCTTATGAAAACTGAAATACAGAGCAGAAATATATTAGCAGTCCACTGCTAATAGGACTGAAGTCCTTTCATGTTAGCGTGAAAGTAGACCTCAGTGTAGTTCCCACTGCAAGATGTTTCTGATGACACTGGAGGCAAGGATGACATTTAGTCTTCCACACTGAAGTTTCCATCTTAAGTAATATCCATTATCAATAAAGTTTTTCCTACTCACAGAAGTTATCTTAAAGATGGAGATTGAAGGAACTTGATTGTGTTCTCTGGCAGTAAAACTCTCAAGCTGGGTAGGTGTTTTGTGGGCTATTTTAAAAAATTGTCCTAAGTCTTGAATAAGCTCCACCTCACTTTCTGTAAACGAGACTTTCAAGGCTAACTGCTTGTTCCCACACCATATGAACTGAAGCAAGGATTGGATCCCAGACTTCTGCAGTTCAGAACCACAGACAAGACTGGGAATCAAACTTCTGTGGTATAATATTTGCAAGACATTTAAAGAAGTGCTTTTGCATTTTCTCCTGGCTGTGGCAATCTGTGTGTGATTTGCAACTGTGCACGTGTCTTGTTGGCCAGATGGAAGAAAGTGTTACTTCCAGCTCTCTTTGTGCTGCTCACAGGAGTTCTTGTGTTACTCTGAGGATGCTGGTGTTCAGGCCTTCATGCCATCACCATACCACAGCCAGCTCCCCGTCTAACAAGATCTGGGAAAGGGCAGTGTGCATTCAGTGCTGTGCAGTTTTGAGATTCCCCTGTTGTGGAAATCTCTAGGTCAAAAGTCTGGCTACGATATACCTTGTGTGAGGATTGATTAATTTGTCACATACCTAGCATTGCAAATCAGTCTGTTCAGAAATGAGAAGAGGCCCTGAAATGTAATGAGTTTGCTAAATAGAAATAAAAACATAGTTTGCCTCCAAACACTTGGGCCTTTTTGATTTACTCACTTTTTATAATCCAGTTATCCTATGGAATCATGTACATTATTTTGGATCTTTGTTGTAATATATAAAATTTACGTTTTGTCTTAAGTTTAGAGCTTCAGTCTTAAGATACACAAGAACTGCCAAAAAGTTCAATATCTGTAGCTGTCTATAACTGTCTGTATGGAAATGAAAGATGGATATCCCAATAGTACCTGGAATCTGAAATCAAGAGATTGCGAAAAAGAAGGCAAAACCCTATTTGGATTATACTTGCTTTGGCTGTGAGTATTTTGAAAAAGAAAGTACAAGTTTTGTATTTGTCTGCCTTGTGCACTTGCATACTGGAAGAGACTGCACCTGTATTTCTGCACTTTCTGTATTTGGATGAAAGACATAAAGATCTTCTACTGTAATGAAGCATGCTATATAATACTTAAAATTTTGATGGTGACCATCACTGTGTTATTTGCACCAGGAATGTTTTGGTGACACAGTTTCTGCAAAAAAGGATTGTGATGTCAGAAAAACAATATGATTACTGTAAAGCAGCTCTTGGCTTTTTTAAGGATTAATGATTCTGTTTCCATATAAATAAGTTGCTGAAATACATATTAGCAGAATATATACTAAATAGAATACTTAGAAAATGTCCAGAAAAGACAAATGTGAGCAATTTATAAGTGAATATGTTGAAGAATATGTGATTTTACTCAATACACTGAAGGAACAGTATGCCTTCCTTAAAATAACCCCCAATCAAAGCAAAAGTGAAATGAATTCCCTGTCAAATAAAAATTAACTACAACTTTGCAGTAAAAAAATTAAAACAATCCTCCAGGCGTATAATCATAATAGAAAATAGTTTAGTCCTTTTTTAATTTGGGGTCACTTTTCCCTTTTTTTGAGTAAATTGTTGCTGGTTTAGTTTTGTATCAGATTTTGTTTTCACCAAAAGCAGTTTTATTGCAACACAAGGAAAACCCACAAAATAAATTCATATTTCATCTGAAACAGAAATTATTATACACAAATAGGTCTTTCCCACTCAGTTCAGTGTTCCTGTTGAGTTTTGTTTTAACTAATACAGATATCAAAGTCAATCATACTTGTCCTTTTGACTCAGATATTACCTTGTCAAGATTTAATTGGAGAGTTCTAACTTATCCATTTGTTGTGAAAGCAAGGCTCTTTCATACAAATGGTATGATCATTACTTTTTTTCTTCCTGCTCTCTGATGAAAGAGCTAAGCATTTGGTAGATTAATTGGCTTGTGAAATTGCCTCTTACTACTTCTAATTGTATCTATTTTTTCATTATAACTTTCCTTACATTTCTTCCCTTATATTTTCTGGCCTCTTAGTCTTACAGTAGCAATTACCTTTCTTTGAGTAATATTTTTTTTTTAAATTCATTTTGGAGAGATTATCCCATTCCATGAGGAAAGCAGAAACACGTTTAAATGAGAGACACTTCATCAAAAAGACTTGTAATCCCTGTTGTGTCTGTGTATTTTCATGTCAGTTTGGAAAGTATCGTTAAAAATCCCCTTCTTTCAGATTACTTTTCTCATGTATTTTCCATTTTATATCAATGAAATGCAGTGAAAGACAGAAAAATATATATTATATAATATATATTATATAATATATATTATAATATATAATATTATAATATATTATATTATATTATAATTTAAGTTACATTTTCTCCCCATCTGATAAACTACAGGCTAAATAGTAATGTAGCTCTCATATTTCTTGCCATGTCACACAGTGGAGACTCTTCCTCATTTTCTGTTTTCCTCATAAAAAGGTAAAGGTTAGTAGTATTACAAGAGTGTAATACACTACCTGTTCACATGTACATGTCAATGATCACAAAAATTAGGACTAAAATGACAGATACAATAAATGTTCTTCAGGGTCTTTTGTTAGTCTAGATTTAGGTCACAAATTTCATTTCCCAGGCTGTTGTTCTAAGAGGAGCCAGTCTGGAAACATAAACATTCTTTTACTTTTTCAGAACACTGGCTTTGTAGTTGCATTGAATTAGGAGTTTTCATAACTTTTTCAATATTCCTAACAATCCCTTTTAAGACATAAAGATTAATTTTTAAACAGTACATTTCTTGCACAAATCCTCTGCCCATGTTTCCATATGGTTTAATTTTAATGCCTGTTAATCCATACTATTATTGCTTGCCTCCTTTTACTGGAATTCACTGGAGGAAAATGATATTAGGGTTTTCCTTTTTGAAGAGGAGGGTAGTTGTTCTGAAAAGAGAGCACAAGATGAAATAAAAGAGTACATTTATGAACAAAATGGACATAATAATAAAAGTTTTCCATTGAATCTCTGTGGTCTAAAGAGGATCACTGACATTCTGAATGAGAACAAAGTCTCCCAGAAAAAAAATTAAGACATTAGCAATGTTTTCTGGAAGCTTAAATTTCATGTTATGTCTCATATCACTCATTCAGATGAATCTTAGAAATGGAAAAAAAAAATAGTGTCTGTTCACAAAGATTATTTTAGTTAATATATGTAACAACTGCTTAAGTACTATCTGATAGGATCAAACAATTTTGAGGAAGTCCTTTAGCTTCATATTTGGTTATTCAATGTATCCCTAATTTATATTACCTTTTTTATATTACCATATTCAAAACCAAATGCATTTTTAACATATATTAATATAAAATACTTCATAATATTGTCTCATATATGTTTAAAACCCAGGAATATTTTTGACAATGATTTTATATAGAGTCCTTCATGCATTCAATTGAGATATTCATGGTCCTAAAGAAACCTGGAATGTGCTAATATAATTTGCTGAATTGAGGCCTCTAATTCTAATGACCTAAAAAAACCCTTTAAAAAACAAGGAAATAACCTTCAGAAGAAGGTTTAAATAAAACTTGACATATTTTACGTCTTGGAAAAACAAAAGCTTTTGCAGTCTTGAAATACCTCTTTATAGACAAAGTTGCAATTTGCACTTCAGAAAACATCTAGATACCTAAAGTACAGTGAAAATAGAGAAGGAATTTTCCCTTTTCTTAGTTTTCTGTCTTTAAGAATGCAGACAACAGTGTTGAAACATGTTTTTACAAGTTTCTGAATTTCAACTTTTGGGGCTATTTCTTGAAAAAGTTCCAAGTTATGAAGTCCATACATCACATTCAGAATTTCTGTAGTTTTATAATGAGCAATGTTCGATTTACCAGCAGGAAAATGATATATCTTGTAAATCCCTAGAACTTTCTATATTGGTACTAAACTTTAATTGTTACTGATTTGCTACAAAATGGTGGTGTTAGGGGAGGAATTTCAGGAATGTTTATATAAATTATTTTGAATTTGGTTAATTATCTTTATGACCTTCTTCATCATCACACCTTTCAGTCTTTAAGGTCTCCCTACAAAGGCAAAGCCTGTGTTTTGTTTCACGTATTTGCTGTTTTGGTGGTTGTCTCATCAGGTTAAAAACTTTCTGTCACTACTTTGATTTCTGTGTTCAAATTCTTTCCTGGAATGCTTTAAAAGTTTTGCAGTGATAGCTTCTCAACATGAAAAACTGGAATAAGAAAATAAATTTTAATGGAAAGTTGTTGAATGCAGGTTTTTGTTCTTGTAAATCACATTTCTAGAAACAGTGGCAAAGTGTTTTGGTCTTTTTATCCAAGAATATATAGGATTAAAAAGAATCTTTCAGCACATCCAATCTCTTCTTATTTTAGACAACTATACCACATAACCTTTTTTGATAAAGTTCTATCTTAAGATGATCTGGACTAATTTTGCCACATTGCTCCTTAGGGAAGTCTGTTCAAGAACTTCATTGCTCTTTATGTTCTGTCCTGGGATTGTGTTTCACTTGACGTTTGTTCATATCACATTATTGTCTTGTATCACTTTTAGTTTAGTTGTTCCTCACCTGCAGTTTCATTCTTTTGTCTGTTTTCACTAGCCAATTAATCGCACTCATATAATTCTTTCTGGGTTTTATCTGTCTTTATCTGTACTACTAGCATGTGTCGTAAAGTTTGCTGTCAACGTCTGTATGCTTGGATTTTGTTTCAAGGTAAAGTTGACAAATACATTAAACAAGATGATTAAGAAGCACTCAGGTGGGATACTTTATTTCTTGTGACCACTTGTGATAATCTCATTTTCCCCGCATTTTGTTTTTTGTTTTACCTGCCTTATCATCTTTCCTGTAATCCCCACCTTCTTCTACCATAACTAAGAATTTCCCTTACGGTGTCATGGCATAATTTTTGCTGATGCCCAAGTAGATTATCTCTGTTTCATTTCCTTTGTGTGAAAATACATTGTTTATTTTTAAATGTGTGCAATATCTGATCAGAGGTTGTCGTTACAAATAATTTATCTACAGGCAAACCTCATGGAACCTGAAGCTTTTTCTCCCGGGTCTTAAAGACCAGGAATTGCAAGGTAGAGATTTCCCGGAATGATATTCACTTCTTGTCTTTGCTGTGTCAACCACCTGAAAGCTGTAAGTCAGAAACTAAAATTTGCTTATTAATGGAAAAATACAATATTGGGATGTCTGAAACAGTAAGTATCAGCAAAAGTTTAAATACTTTGATGTAAAAATAAGCTCCAAACTCAGACTTTCTAGGGAATGTTTTTATTGGAAGTTGATTCTAACCTAATCCAATTTCTTGGGTTTGTATTACTTGTTCCCTTTTAGACAAGTCACCAAGTCACGCTTCTTTTTGGCATAGATCATCTTCCTATTTTTAGCAAAAGTTAGGTGGGGAGGAGTGAGTAGAAAAGAATCACAAAAGGTCCTTTTTATTTCCATATAATCCCATGTAAATATTTGGAGGAAAATTGTATTTCTTTGTAGCATCCTAGGTACTTGATGTACCTTTCAGCAGTTCCTGGTGATAGGTTTCCAGAATGAGAACACAATTGCCATATAACCTGTCTAGGAAGGCCTTGAAGACCTCTTGCAAACTTTACAGCAGCTAAAACCCTGCAGAATTACAGATTTTGGGTGCAAACTACAACAAAGAAGGGTTTCTGTTGTCTAGCAGGATAGTAAGCCTTCAGAACTTCCATCTATTTAGTCGTAAATTTTATATATATTTTTAAAAATATGTGTGGCTTTTTTTGCAGTATCTTTTAAAAGTATACAAGCAGTCTAGGTATCTTGGTGGAAATAGAGATGATGTAAACAAAGGGCAATTGGCCCACAAATCCTCATGTCTACAGGAAAACAGGAACAGTCTTCTCTTCCACCATGCATGGACAATGTAAGTTAGGTCAAAACTTAATTTTAAGGTGATAACAAGATAATTTCTTGACAGATGTGTTTAGGTTCAATTAGGTCTGCTGGATTAATTAATGAATGTTAGCAAACTACCCTCCTAAAACTGGCCTCAGAAATGCAACTATTTCACAAGTCACTATTTTGTAGTTTTCTTATGCCTTTCTAACTGATTACTTTTATATTTCCAAAGCTGGGATTTCGCCTTTGTCAAGGCTGATTGCCCACTTCCTTTGCCGCAGAAATCTTAAATTAAAGTCATCAAGGTGCTGGTGTCTGAGACTCTCAAACCATTCTACCCAAGACAGAATGTTCTTCCAATAGACTAATTAGAGAGTTTGAAATTGAATTGATTTTCAAAAGAACACCAGGCTCTGCACACACGAAGGGGCTACAGCTCTCACAAGTGGAGGACTAATACTGCACGGAGCTCCTGGGCTGACCTGGATGCTCAAATCAAGTGCAGATTTCTCCAGCTCCACATTGAATTGAAGGCTCATAAGCTGTAACTTCTAATTTCTATTTTGTTTGGATTATTTTTACCTCAGTGAATCAACTAGTTCCTGCTAACTAAGCCTGCAGAATCCTAATGAAGACAATGCAATTATCATACTGCTCTGAAGTATGATAAGTAGCTCTGAAGTAGGAAGGCAATAACCTTGACTCTGCTTAGTTACTTCTGGAAAACTAGAGTGCATTTTATTTACAAGAATGCTCCAAGCAGGTAGCTTTTAATCAATTCCATGCTGGAAAGCCACTTTTCTGGAATTTAACAAAAAAAACCCATTTTAATATGCTTTGTCATGCATTCTTCCCCCTTTTTTTTTTTACTTTGTTTTGTTTTCTTTTTCTATTTTGATATTTGCTTTAACCATGCAAAAATTTCTGTGATCTTTTCTAAAACAGAGCTTCATGATTAATTTTTGTTCAGAAGGCTAGATTACCTGTTCTCATGCAGACAGATCAGTGACATACAAGAAAGGAAATGTGAATTGTCTGCCCACATCCCATAGTGTAGATAGCATCTCAGACTGAGCTATGCACCTGGAATATTCTTAGTAATATCAAGAACCCATGAGGTGTGTCCAATAGCACTTCATTCCTCATTCCTTGCTGCAGTCTGCCTAGCTATGTTTGTGCAGACAGCAGCTCTTTAATTTAAGGATGAAAGGAATTATTCTAAGCAATTTTTTACTGAAAGTGTCTTTGCTCTTGAAGTAACATGTTGATTCCTCGTACCATTGAGACTGTATTATGTAGTTCATTACTTAGAATATCAAGACAGAATTGCCTAATAAGAGGAGCATAAGACAAGATGATTTGCATAGCTCAGTTGAACTTCAGAGTTTGCATTTCTGAGCAGGAGAAAATGCCAAGATTCCATAAGGCAACTACTTATTCCAAATCTGGCATTTCTCCTATTCAGAAACACAGATTGTGAAGTTCAGTGAAGTTACTGAAATCAATCAATTTTTCCCGAGTATTTTAATAACAAGTACATTTTCTGTTTATTAGTGTTTTGCTGGTATACTGTTTGCATATTAAGATATTAATTTAGTATATTCACTTGAATGCTGTCTCTTTCCTGATTCTCCAAGAAAAAATTCTGTGGTACATTTAAACGAGTAAGGAACACAGTCAGGTTGATACACGCTTGCCTTTGCTGGAAAATTAAGATGAATATCATGCACAGCTCATTTGTGGCTTTGTCTTATGTCATTCCATCAGTTTCGAGTTATACAAGTAATTTCTAGAACCATATAAATAAGGTGTTTCACACAGACAGTGTGTAAACCTGACCTGAAGGTTGTGTCTGTGTGAATGAATAAAATTGACTCTTTGAAGCCAAAGCCTGTATCTATATGGCTTTTCCTCCTGACTATATTCTGTCAGGAATTCACTGTATTCTTATTGGGTATGATTCTTGGGCTGTGCAGATCCTGGAAATACAATTTTGAATTTTAGAAGAGAGGTAGTTGGCCTGACCAAAAGTATGCCAGGAACCTTGATAACAAATTCACATTACACTTGTGCACCCATGCTGTGATCCTGCTGAGCTTATCAATACAGTATTACCAGATTTTTTTGTAACCCTGCCTGCCTTAGGATACTATCCAGGGTTCCTTTCTGGCTCTTCAGCCCCAGTCCAGCTCTCTGTACTGAACTCAGTGGCTTAGGGATATGTGCCTTCACATAAGTGTTAGAAGGGCAAAAATCACCTCCTTCCTTAACCTAGTTTTACTTAGTAGCAGAAGTGCTGCTTCACAACCTGGGGAGAGGAAAAAAATAAATGTAATGGTACATTTTTCAGACCTTCCTCATGAGCAACGATTGTTACACACCCTCTACTTTGCAGAGCCCCTTGTTCCCCCACTGGAGGCTTTAAACAAAGATCTCATCTGTGATTTGCAGGTTTTGTGAAACCCATGGAACCTCTGAGGATCTGCACAATCTGCCTGAGACAAGACAGCATAGCAAGCAATTGTATGTAGAAATAATGACATTCATTTTCAATATCCAGATAGTTTCTGCGAGCATTTTTCAATGATTTGTTGAAAAACTGACTTTAAATATTTTGCTTTTCATTAGAAAACATGATTTCACAGTGACAGACATATTCAACTCTTCTTCTGGGGATCTTTTGACATATGTCAAAATATTATGTTGTTTGGGTTGTTTTGGTATTTTTTTTTTTGTTATTAACATCATCAGAACAAAGAGTGAGAACATAGGTTCTGGGCTTGAAACATGCTGTTGAATATTTTACAAGACTATAATAAAAGATAGTTTGATATGCTCTTATATGATTTGCTACTGCAGTGAAAAACAGCTTTTAAAACTTTATAAGCAGCTATGGCTATTGTCCCCTGCTAAAAATCAAATTCTAAGTAACAATTTGGTTTCTGTCATACTTCAGAAAATGGTGTATTCTGGTCTGGTCTATACTTGATATGTTTTACTGACATTATTATGTTTGCTAGCAATGCAATTTTTTTTTTGTCATGATAACTGTCCTTCACACTATCCTTCCAAAGATGTAGGTACGCTGGCATTCTTGCTGAAGATACGAGTCTTGCTTCACTGCCAAAAAGAGGATATACTTTTAAAACATGTTTAAGCTAGAATTACGATTTTTAGATGAGAAGAATGATTTGCCCTATGTGGGACTAATTAAAAGAGGTGTTCTTAAATGCAGATAAGACTTGAGTTTCATTGGACAGAACAGTTATGAATAAATAAAGTCCTCTCTGCTTGGCAGCAGCCTTGATGACTCTTAACAACTTTATCATGTTTTTCAATGTTTGTTTTTGTTTTGTTTCTTAAAATCCCCAAGTTCTTGCATAACATGATTGCTTCATAGAAGCCTATACTTCTAGTATTTGTAGTGTGGAGAAAAAGCTTGAAAATTATTATACAATCCCCACTTCTAACAGAGGAAATGGAAGGATCTGAGATGTGCGGTTTTTAAAATATGGTAAGCTTCAAATGAAGTTCCTTCTTTTTGAAACCTACCATTTTTAGTTTTTATTATAATGGCTTCTATAAATTTTATTTTTCTCAGTTAATTCCAAATGTTTGGATCACAGTTGCCAAAATGTTCAGGCAAAAATTAAAAAAACATAATTTTAAATGGAGTTGCATACATTAGGAGAGCATATTTTTTGGATTTGGAGACTTCTACTCAAAACTGTAGCTGTTTTCTCTTTGGAAATTGATTTTAATAAGTATACTTCTTAAGATGTGCTTTGTGAACTTAAGCTTGGGAGTTGAGCTCCGTGCCAATACTGGTTATTAACATTCCAAGATGTGTAGATTTGGAGTAAGTTTCACAAGCACAAGATACACCACCATTTTGTTAAAATAAACAGTGTCCATGAGCCTCCTCAGATGCAGTATCAAGAAGGGGCTTACTGCCTGTGTGTGACTGTACACATCTGTTAATTCAGAGATTTAAATGTGAAATCCAGCACTCAGGGACACCAGGTGGATATCTGACACTCTCTGAGGAATTTGTGCTTCATAAACCATTCTATGGATTACTCACAGCCATGCTCTTTTCCCTGATTGTGACATAAAAAATATGGATGAAATATATGTATCAATAATTAAACCTGGTATAAATCAATGCAAGTTACTAATAAATGAGAATCAAAGACATGTTGCTGCCAAAAATCAGCTCTTAATGCCTCTTTACTTATTGAAATGGCATGCTGTATATCACAATGGTTTTGTTAATGACAACAAAATATTTCTTTAGGTGAAAGTCAGAAATATTATCCAGGTCCACAGTGAAAGCTGCAGTCTTGGCACTACTTTCCATGACTCTTCAAAAGTACTTATATGACTTAAGAGCCTAAGGGCTCAATTCACTTGCCCACACATTGGGATCTTTTTCTATTTAAAACTCATTGGTGTATCAAAGCTCCCTTATGGGGTGTCAGAAATTACACTGGAGCTGTGGAAAAACTGTCATTTGGGTACAGCAGCTGAAGACCAACAAGGATATTCTGCAGTGCGTGAAGTGGCAACAAAATTAATGTGTCTGGCAACTAGACCTTCAAGCTTTCACCAGTTTGGGCTGGATTCAATCTTATGATCTGTTCTTGAAGAAGGTATCTGTGCCACTTTTTCTAATGAATGTCAGACTTCAGAGTGGTTATCCCTTTCTATTGAATATTTTTCTCAACATAATAACTCTTTTCTTAGCCATCATACTTGTTCCTTGCCCAAAGATTATATAAGTGGTGAGGGACAACCCCCATTTTCCACAGTAACAAAGCAGAGTTCAGCAAAACCCAAAGAATTTCCTCCATGCCACAATGATGACCTGGTGCTGTGGTCATACTTCTGAAAAAATGACAAAAGTGGGAGTGATTTCTTCTGGCCAAGGATTGAGTGAGGGAAGCACTCTCATCTGTATATTGTAGCTACTAATGGATATTTTAAAAAAATTGGTGGATGTGTCTTCACTGAATTATGTACCTTATAATTTCAAGATACAATACTCAAAATTCTGAATTTAATTCTCAACTCTGTCTTCCTGTACCTGAAACATTTACTTGAATCTGGCAATAAATCTGTCAGAAATGAGACTTAACTCTGAGAAATATAGGCACTGGTAAAAACTTTGTCCCTTAGCAGTGATTAAACATACCGTCCACGTAGGGGTCTCACCTAGTAGCCCAAGATCAGTGCTTCCCAAAGTTTTCCCTTAGCAGCCCTACTTCCAGGGTCACAACCCCACTTTCATTTTCACTTCCAGGCTTGTGGGCCCCAAGTGGGGTCATGACCCTAACTTGGGAACTGCTCTATAACACATTGAAAAAATTAACATACCAGCCAGTAAATACATCAGCAAAACAAGCCCATCCAGTCTGCCCAAGCCCCTGCCTCTCTGCCATCCCTAGGGGCCTTACCTATTAAACATGGGGTTTCAAAACCATGTATCTACTTGTGAGCTCACATACTGCTTTGTGCCTGTGTTACCATTGTCTAGTACTCTTCCTTTGTGCTATTTAGCTAAGTTTAGTGTTGACAAATATGTGCTAACACTTCTGAAAATATGACCTCCTTTTCCTTGCTCATTCATATGTTGGAGGTGCTGCTTAGATTTATTATTTGCACATAATAGGGTTCACAGTTATTGTGTGTCAGAAACAAGATCTGGAGAGTCTACTGTTGCCACAGTTGGAGCAACACATACACATCTGGTAAAATTGCAGTGTAAATTGTTTTGTCCTTAGCAATTAATCACTTACAGTGTATTCTATTGATTCTCCTCCTTAACTCCTACTGGTCTTTACCTTCTTCTCTTTTCTTTGTCCTCATCTGACTTCTGTTCTCCATTTCTTATGAGCCACACATTTAATTTTTTAGCATCTTGTGCAGAAGTGCCGAGTTTGGATATGGACATGCAAAATTTCTACATGCCTTCCAGAACATTCTACCATTACATTTCAAAGACCTTTGCACTGGTTGTGAAAGTACACAGGTTAACTGAAATATCAGTATCTGCCTTTTACCAGTGGAGAGATTATAACACAAAGTCCATTACCCACGGTCACCAAAAAGTCAGTAGCAGAGAAAATCATGGATCTCCCATTCCATGTGGAATCCCATGGTGGACTCCAAGCAATGTGGTTAGCACAAGCTATACCAGTAGATGGCACTTCAGCGTTCATAGCGTTGCTCAGGCATCTGAGGGTCTGATGCAACTGACCTTCTGGTGTGTAGTTCTTCACATTCAACTTTTAGCACAGTTTTATTTCTTTTTGTTCTTGTGGTCTTTTTCCTTGTAGATTTACTCTGCCATTCTCCGGTTTTTAAATTATTATTTACCTTGCCATGACACTTTCCTGTTACTTTTACATTTCTCTCAATTTTATATTTGCTATGTCTTGTTTGAAAAAGAATAAAAGCAAACACCCCCACCAAAACAAGCAAACATACATACAAACAAAAAAAACCAACACCAGAGAAAGAAAAACAAATCTAATAAAGGGAATATCACTCACTGTTTTTGTTTTTTTTTTTCAGAAAAGAGTTATCTAGATCCTGACTAGTTCATTACTAAGGAAAACTTGGTGCTGGTGAGTGGAAGCAGTAAGGTTAACTCTCAAATGTTCTGAAGCCTCACCATGTATTTTTTTGCCGTTTGAGGTGAAGAGCTCTCTGCTAACTTGAAGTGTATCTGTGAAGCACACTACGTATTCTCAACTCTATGTTGGACTACCCTTGCTGCACACAGGCTGTAGCTACACACATTTTGCTTTTTTTCTCCAGATAGGAAATGAGGATTTTGTTTGGGCCTCTTGTTGTGGGCTGTGCCTGGATTTTGCCCCATCAGCTCATGTGATGCTCCTTGCAACCTCGCTGACAGTGGCAAGTGCCTTTCAATTAAGATTGAAGTTCCATCAGAGCCTGTAAATGTAGAATGCTGGTGAGATTAATAAATGGTCACAGCTTCCAGGCATGCTGGGTTGAGAAGTGTACAAACTCTGGAGTTTGTGCACTGTGCACATTTGGAACTCCGGCTCTGCATGTTTATAGCAATGGGCTCCATCCCTTTTTTCTTTCTCATAAGAGTGAAAATTAGTTTCTTTAAGGTTGAAGTCCAAATGTGGAAATACTCATTATTTGTGTATCTTTAATGCCACGCATTTTAGGCTTTTTGCAATTTGGGTGGAGTCACCATTTGAAACAAGGATTTGAATTGATCTGACTAAACCATTGTAGGTGGGAAAAGATTATGGAAAACATCCCTGAAGAGACTTATTTACTAGCTCCAGTGGGCATTATCTATTATATTTCCAAGTGTCTTGTCTTTGGCTTGTTTTTTTTTGGCTTTCCTTACTGTCTTGACCAATCTAGCTGGTACTAGTTATTGTCTCTGAGAATTATTGTCATTACTAAAAAAAAGAAAATTGCAAATCTGAACAATAGCATAGTTTTAAAATGCATTTTAACTGTTTCTCTCTTTTATTTGTTTGTTTTCATTTAAAAACATAGACATTTTATGCATTTCTT